GAAAGAAATAATAGCATTTTATCTTTTTGGACAAAATAAAAAATCCTATTTACAAAAGTATATTTTTTGCTCAATTTAAAGGAAATAATCATAAAAAATAAAAAATATGCTGTTTTGGGAATGTTGCTGAACAATATGTTTAAAACTGCACTTTATTTGCTTTTTCAAATAATGAGACCAAAAGTGTTTTGAAAAACAAATTATTACCAGAAAAAACAAATAAGAAAAATTTAAAATTATAAACCAAAAACCATAGAAAAATAAAACAAATAACTATTCGAGAACATGTGTCGGTTGAATGGCATAAATAAATAATAAAAAAATCTTATTGGATCGAAGTAAAATAAAAATGTTGTCATTACATTTTTTAGTTAGAACATGATATATGATTTAATTTGTTCAAACTTTAAAGTAATCACTGTTAATTGAATTTCATTAAACATGAAACGGTGTATAAAATAATAAACAAAAAGGGTTTTATATATTTCTCAATTTAAATATTAGCATTATTATAACCAAAATATTAAATTAAGTGGTTTAATATTTTGACACATATTAATTTATATGACAGTTTGTTGTTTCATTATATGAAAATTTAAAAATATATATTGATATGGCTAGGTTGGACGATACCATATAAATATATTTATTTTTATGTTCTTTTAATTGCGTTCTAAACCGTACATTTTATAATAAAAAACAATAATAGTTTTATATTCAAAATAATACAAGTTGTTAACATCTCGGATCAACTTGAACATAATTTAACAATTTGTTTTGACTAGCAAAAAACAATTTATTTCATTTTTAAAAAATACATATTATTTACAATTATTTATATGTATAATTACTATCGAAACACAGTTAAATAGTCTTTGAGTTGTTGTGTTTTTAATGTTACACTATGAATTATCAATTATTGTTTAAAACAAATTGTTAATGTTGATTATTATAATCATTTTTCTTTTTCTTTTAAATTTAAAAAGTGTTGGATTCAAGTAAATTATTTAAGTGTGTATTTAGCGTACATGTCAGATAACAATCTACTTGCTTTTATCAGTAGTACATCGTTTTGTAGAATATTTAATTAAAACACTTCAAAAATCCTATTTATTATATAATAAAAAAATAAGTAATGTCTGTTGATGAAAACACAACACATCAAACAATTTAATGTTCATATTTGTGTTATATAAATTATTCACAAAAGATGGTTGTGATACATAACAATTATACAGAAATAAACATTATATCAAAAACATAAATATAAAATGGTATCACATATTGTTTTTTTTGTTTTTCTGTTTTCTGGGTGTTTCTTTTCTGAATAAATAATTATTTTTTATTATAATTTACTTTCAGTCAAAGGCGTCTATTTGTCGTAAATTTAAAAGAAAAACGTATTTATTTGTCGCAAATGAGTGAATTTTGTAGAAAATTCTTTTTAATATTGAAATTTATTTTTTAAAAAAAATTTAGTTTTTAATTCAACAAAAGTTACAGGTTCGAGAACAAAATATTTAATTGTCGTACACCAAAATGATTGGCCAGTTGTGCGACAATTAAGCAAGTTCGACAATTATAATTACGACAAATAGACGCCTTTGACTGTATAGTAATTGTTGTTCATCATTTTTTATTTGCATATTAAGAACAATATACCGATTTTTAATTATTAATTATACTTGTATAAAAACAATATACCCTTAATAAGGTTATACATTTTAATATACAAATTGAAGAAAGTAGCTGACAAAACAAAAAACTGTGATTTGAAAGATGATCAATGTTCTCAATCTTATATTTTAAATTGACACATTTACTTAAACATAGTAAACTAATATTTGAGAAGTTGTTTAAATTATTTAATTAAATACCCGTTTAATATAAAACATTTAAACTAATATTTAATTATTAAAATGTTATTGATTAAAAAATTATTGTATTAATATTATTTCAAATCACATCATATTTAACATAATTATTCAAATAATCATTTACTGTTTAGAGAGCAAACAACAGAACAGAAATGACCATAATAATAGCAATATCAGCACTCCCTTCAGTTGGTTCAACAAAAGCTTTGCATTTTCCTTCTTTATCAGGCAAATATAAATTAAATCCATACTTGTCTTGGCACACTATGCATTTGGCGTCATCGTTTCTGGTATGGCAACTATCATTAATGGAACATTTTTCACCATTTTTTATATATCTATTATTACAAATTTTGCAAGTGTGGTCTTTGTTGTATATTAAGCAGTTATAAAAAGATTTATATTCTATACATTCAATTGCACTATTCACACATCCACCGTCACATTTATTATCACACTTTTGGCAATTATATTGATCATCGATATAATAGCCAATTTTACATTCAATGCATTTGCCTGGTCTTAAGGCGTCGTAATGGTTACAATGAGTAGTTGGGTAGCACTTTTCTTCAGTATAACTTTTGTTTGTATATTCGCATACAACATTGCATTTGTTGCAGTAATCTTGTGTGTTATTAGCATCGCTATTAAACGAATCACACTTACCTTCACAATCCAAACATTCATTCTCAACGGTTAAGAAATATCTAACTGGACAAGTAACACATTTGGTAGCTGAATTGCCTTCAGAGCAAGTGAGACAAGACGAGTGACATTTGACACATTTGCTACCATCAGTAACAGGACCATATCCATCGTCACATGATATGAGTTTTTGGTTATTGTTTGACACATACATGGTGCGACTTGTGTCACTCTTCTGGCAAACTTTTCCATTCAAAACATATCCATATGCACACTCAATACATGTTTCTTGATCTGAAGAATAACAAACATCACAGTTGTCGACACATTTGTAAGACTTTTTTGCGGCTTTATCATATTTATATCCACCGTCACAGTTAGTACATTCATTCAAGTTGTTATCTGTGCAAATAGCACATCCAATCGGGCATTTTTCACATTTGCCATTGTTGAGTCCATATCGATATTCACATTCATAGCATTTGGTAACATCTTTTTCATCGCATTTATCACAGAGATTTGTGCATTTAATACATTTTTGTGATGTTGTTAATGTATATAAATAGTTGCATGTTTGACATTTGGAAACATCTCCATCAATACAACGATAGCACCCTTCAACTTCACACTTTTTACATTTACCATTCACTTTGGTGTGAGATGATACACAATTAGTACAGACGGTGGCATCTGAATCACACGAATCACAATAATCGATTTCGCATTCGGTGCAATTTCCAGACTTAAGACCATATCCTGAAAAACAACTTGTGCACTGAGTTTCGTTTTCTTGAAGACAATACGGTCGATACTCACAGTTATCACCCATTAAAATATAAGACTTTTCACACAATTGACAGCTATTTTTATTGTTGTAAGTAATGCAATTGGGCAGAGTCCCAAGAACACAATCTTTGTTTTCATCGACATAATACCCATTAATGCAAGTCTTACACTTTTTGTTGTCGGTTGCATCTTTCATAACACAGTTTGGAATTTGACACATTTGTTCGATTCCAAATAATAACCGCCACCACACGTGGTGCATGTACCACAGTCGGGATTGGCATCTATACAACCCTCATTCTCTTCAGTGCAATTCTTACATGACTCGTTTTTGATATTTGTGATAGAATAGCAAGAATCACAAGTCATTTCATTTTCCAAAGTATCAACTATACAATACTCATCTCCTTCAATACACTTGGTGTTTACAACATCTTTCATATACCCATGTGCACAAGTTACACACCTGTAGCCATTAAAAGTTTCACACCCCATGTCTCTTTTGAATGTGCAAGTAGTGTTGTCAGCGTTTAAAATATAATTGTCAAAGCAAGTTTGACATTTTCTTTTATCAGCTGTTATTGTTTTGCAGTACGATCCAGTAAATTCAGCATGAACAAAGAATATCAGTGTCAGACAAATAAGAGAAAGCATTTAATGATATTTGAGTACAAAAAACTCTTTTTATAATGGAAGACACAACTGCAACACGTGTTAAGTTGGAATTAACTAAATTATCACTTACTAAATTATCACATTATCCAAGTACTTCAACTTCTGTTAATTTCGTGTTTGATTTTAATTATTAATTAAAATAACAAAATTGTATATCATGAAACATTATGACTAACTTTACATTACAAATTTTTCGATTTTTCGATTTTTATATTTTTTATCTTTGTTTTTAAATCATTTTTAAAAATTATCACACCTTTTTGGTTTTGTTTTGCTGATTGATATATTATTTCGATATTTTTTTGTGTTTTCGAATTAATATCCCTCTTTTATAAAAATAACATAATTTCATTAGAATATTTCTATAATAAAAGTTCCATTATTAATTGTAATCACAAACCATGTATTAATTTTTAAAAAATATAATTTAAAAAATAATTATTTTTTCAAAAACTCAACAATGGTTAGATATAAGCACCATTTGATAAGTTGTTAATTGTATTTTTACTAAATATAATAGCTTTAATGAAATATTTGTCTAACCATGTCATAAATCGAAAATCTTAAAGATTTATCAATTATTTTAATTTACATTAATTACTCGACATTTGAAAACATGCTTCTCAATATAATTCGTTTTTGACAATGATAATTTAATGGTAATTATTTTGTAAAAGTGTACAAAAATGATAAATTTAATTACACAAAAATGTTAAATTGAGACGATTCGAAAGACTCTTTTTGTTTTTTGTCAATTTATTTGATAATCGAACCTTTTCATACTAAAAAAGTTGAATAACAAAAATAAAAATGGTGTTATACACAAAATGATATATTAATTGTACAATAATTTGTTTGTAATGTATAATAATATTTTGTAATACTAAAAATGTGTTTTATTTTAAACAACAAAAAGGATATGTTAGATATTATATCAAAAAATTATATATTTAGAAAAACGAAAATTATAAAAACATTAAATAAATATAACTTTGTATTTAAAAAATACAATTTGCAAACAAATAATTTGTTATAACGAGTTTTTTATGTTTGTTAATTGTTTTGAATGAATAACACTTATATTTCAATTGTATTTGATAATAATAAAAAATGTATTATCACAAAAATCTTATTTGTTCTTTGTTTAAATACAATTACGAATTGCAAAAAACACTTATTGAAGTCTAACAAGGTCTTACAACATATTATTATGTTATACAGTTACAATTTAGTTTTCACGTATTTATTTATTATAGTGTAATAATTATAAATTTGGTTCATTTGACAGGCTAAAGTTTGCTTACCCAACTGTATGCTGATTAAATAAAAATATTAAAACGAATTCAAAACCAAATTAACATTTTCATAATGTCAGTAAAATAATTAATTGATAATAATTATAACTGCACTTTTATTTTGATAAAATATAATTCTTATTTTTTTACAAACATGTTTATATCAAAAAATAATATTTGTTTTTATAAATTTTTTTTATAATATTAATATTATTATATAAATACATTAATATACTAGATTTTTGAATTTGATAGTGCTTAGATTGTTTTTGTTTATTTTAATGCAAACTATTTGAATCGATTTACATTTAGTAATCATTTTTTTGAATTTTGGTTAATATTATAACACTTTATTTATTATATTCACATGAGATGTAGAAAAACAATAACAAAAGATCACAATATATTAAAAAACTAAAATAATCAATTCAATTGTAATTTATTGTTTAAACAATTTCTTGATAATGTCAACTTTAAAACAACACCAAACAAGTGATTAGTATTGTTCTGATATGCAATTTAAACTCGTGTATATCTCAAATGATGAGTTGATATTATAGATTTACTATTTTTATTTTTATTTTGTTTTTTTCGAATTTAGTAAATGTAATAAAAATGACAATGGTGCCATTCTGTGGTCTTTATTATATTTTTGTTTTTTTTTACATTCACAACCCTAAAATTTGAAAACAAAAAAAAGATAATTAAATATTTATTTTTATTTTTTTGTTTTATTGTGTTTAAGCTACTTATTATACAATCACTGTTATTAATTTGATCCTTGTTTTCGAGTGTTTTCTATCAATTCATCTATTTGTAGTCTAAAATGTCATTCTCTCCCATTTTATACAATTTAACTATATTCAGTAATTTTTATTTATTTGTTTAAAAAGATTTCAAAAATTGGTGACTTAAAGAAGAATTACAAAGACTAAAAGAGTGACTACCCACATTACCTCCGTTTTCACACAACCGTCTTTAGTTCCCTTCCCATTATCCCAGCACATTGCAATATCCGGAGCGTCTTCGTTTTTGATTAAAGTGACCTCATCGAACGAATAAGTGTTTGTTGATGAATTCTGGTTTATAGCAGTAAACCCCCAGAAACTATTATTGGTGATATTCAGTTCTGAAAACAAGAATTTGTAGTAAGTCCACGTGTTCTTTTTGACGGGCACAAACTTGTCAGCTCCCGTCGTTTTATAAGCTCTGACCAATAAGCTTCTTTCAGAGTCCACCGTCCCTCTCACGTAGAATTGAATTGCGCTGTATTGGTCTGCTCTTGCCGCAAAATTAGTCGCAAGTTGTAAAGCGCCGAATGCGTCTGCGGTCATGTCAATGCAATATTTACCGACTTTTGGACTATTCGTCGATTTAAAGTTGATTGTCGACTTATACGACCAGTTATTATAGACTCCAATGATACTATCTTGGTACAACACACTATAGTCGTCCCACAAAGTACAGCACTCCGGCTCATTCTTTGGTTTTGTGATCTTTTGAAGTGTTTCCACATTATAAAATAGCCCATCTGCGACTTTGAAATTGCCATCTGCGACGTTCACGGCACCACCTGTTGTATTTGTCACTGTCACAGTGACAAAGTCGTCATTGATTGAATAGATTTTTAAGGTGATTGGCGTCTTCAATGAGTAGAAATACGTTTTCCCAGGCTGTAACATTTGGAACTCCCAAGTGTTGTACCACGTTCTGTTTAATGAAACAAAATCAGTGATCAAATCCGAGTCTTTCATTAAGACACTTTTGACGCCAATGTAGTGGTCATTCACTACAAAAGCAAACCACGCCGGGTTCGAACTTTTATAATTGACAGTTTTAATTTTGGTGCCTTCGGGATAGTCGCAGGCGACCATTCTGAACGTCACATTGACCATCCCATGTTCAGCAACATACTGCTGTGCATTACTGTGAAGATCGAAGTGTATCATATCACCTTGACATGGGATATTGTTCGCATCAGCTGGACATGAATCTTCTACACGAAAACGCAAGGTACCGACCGGTCCTACCATTTCATAACATACCCCACATTTGGTGGCATTGTTGTAAAAAGCCCAATTGGGCGCGGCACCAAACATGTAGCCAGGAAGAACCACTTCTTCTGTTTTTGGACCAAAGGAACAGGAACCACCCTTTTCCCATCCAACATAACTTGTGATACGACCTTTTGTACATGAAGAAAGAGGTGTAAGCGTGGCGGTTTTACTGCTCATCATTTTGGTGTATAAATTACTTGAAACTTGTGCGGTAATTTCTTCATAAGAAGGTGAGGTTTGTTCTTGTGTGTATTTCTCGACTTTCTCTTCAATTCGACAAAGTTTGGAATTTGAGAATTGAATGAATAATAACACAGCTAATAAAATAATCATTATTGAATTTGTAGAATTATTCGGTTTTTTATTTTGATTATTGGAATTTTCACCGTTTATGAAAAAATATATTTGAAAAGTAATGCATAAAATATCTTTATTTTCAGTAATTCAAAATAATAATTATATTTGTTGTCAAGTTTGTTTACATAAACTATAATTAATAATATTTTTATTATATATTATAGTTGACATCTTAAATTATTATTACCTTTAATTTAATAAGGTGGTAATTATAGCAGTCGTTATTGAACTAAAACATGTTTTTTATAAAGCAAATAATTGATGTAAAATCAATTCGTTGTTTTCGATTTTTGACAATATTTTGGTTTATTACTGAAAAAAAATATCAAATATTATATTTTTATTAAAAATTACTAATTTCAAAATAAATTTAAAAAATTAATTTTGGCATCTTTTATAGATTTTTGTAAATTTTTATAATTTATGATATTTTATGGAAGTATTTCTTCGGCAAAATTGACACATCCCGAAACTACAGTTTCATATATACTAATAATCACGTTATGTTTGTGTTAATAAATGTATTATTATATTATTAAAATTGTTATAACAATGCTATTTATATTATAATATATTTTTTGTGGTTAATCAGTACTATAAAGTTCTAGAATATAAAGTTTTGGTTTTTAATTTACTTGATTTTTATTAAATTTTTAAATAATTATTTGATATAACATTTAAACCATAGTTAATAATAATATTTATTATATATTATAGTTAAATATTTTTATTTGGTCAATACTAAAAATATCATTAACGAACTAATTAAAACTATAGTTATTTTTTTATTAAATAGAAGTTTATTGCAACACACATTTTTCATGTTGTTGTTTCTGTAGTTCAAAATCCTCCTCTTCTTTAAAATTTTCGTCCACAAGTGGCTCAACAATTTTATTAAACGTTTCGACAATTCCATTAAATCCAATGATTTCTTTAATTTTGTTATCTGACACGACTCTCTTTAGACTTTTTGGTGCTCTGATTGTATCGACATTTGAATCAACAATTTCAAGCAGTTCAAGTTGACACTTTGACAGATCAAAATACTTTTCTGACGTCTTCTCGATGACAAGTTTAGTTGTGCACGTTGGCAAATCGATTTCACAATATGAACTGATGGTGCCATTTCTGAAATCACTCAACACAATTTCTTCCAAGTAGATACAATCACTCCAATTTCTTAAACTTTCCGTCTTTAAAAATTCCAATTTTTGTGGTAATTGGTCTACTAAATTACCGCGGACGTCCAAGTATTTTATACCCTCCAAATTGGCTTTAGAAACACATTCATTTTTGACTTTCATTTCGAGTTTCTCTACAGTGCTTGGCATTTTTAAATTGACTGAATTACATGGTTGGAAGACGGTGAGTGCTGTTAGACTAGTTACTTGAGTCAAGTCAATGTCTCCTCCAATGTTTGGTTCTTTCAAATTCAATTCCATCAAATAATACTTTTCATGGTTTTTGAGTACCTCTTCAACATGTCCTGGACGTTTTAAACAGCTATATGTGTATATCATCTTTTCCTTTGTTAAATCTTCTTTAATTTCAAAGTCGTCTTCTTTGTGTTGCATGAACTTTGTAGTCAAAAATATGACGTTTTTATATTTCAAATCAAGCGTTTCTATGTCGTCTGGAAGGTCAGTCACAAAGTAAAATTTGATGTTTTCTAACACTGAAAATTTGGAACAAAATTTGTGGAGCAAAAGAATACCAGTGTCTCTGACTTGTGGCCCATTTTTGGTGAAATCAAAGCGATTTGGATCATCACAGAACATGTGAAATGTCTCAAGTTTCGATTTTTCAAAATTCGAAAAATCGATAAAGGTGAAGTCACAGACGAATACCCACCCATTAATAGTCCACTTATTCTGTGTGGCTTCGGTGTATATTTTGAGGTGCTTCAAATTTGGAAATTTGGCGATATCAAA